CCCTATCTCCTCCCAACAACATCCGGTTTAGAGGTTCATCCCCTATCTTCCCCTAAACCGTGGAGTACATCCTCTATCTCCTCCAATACGACACAATGCATATAAACAATAATTATACACATCATCACACAATACATAAATTTAATGTATTCTTTCAACCGTCATACTCAATGACACATTTCAGTGATTAGTTTCAGTTTGCCTAATCATCACGCATTATCTACAACAATCAAGACTATCCTCCACCGATAACCCAAAGCAGTTATTTCTATAAAGAAAATAAATGCAACAATGGATATATAATCAACATTTCAACTAGGTGAGCGATAAATAATCCAACTACACCCTTTGATTCCATATCTTTCCAAATCAATTCCTCATTTCTCATAATTAATTATGTGAATTAATTAACCAATGTAATTAGGGCATTTTCCATAATTAACATTACAACCCTTAGGTTCCATTTTCATTAATGTTTTAACATTTGTTTCACTTTTCCATGCCAAACATGCAACTAGGTTTTATATAATTAAAATCACAACTTTTGTAAATTTACACAAAAGCCCCAAACTTTCACAACATTACCAAACCAACCCCATCATCTCAAAATACTAAAATTTAAAGACAAAACCCATAGTGAGGAGTAGGTTATCCCTACCTCAAAAGATGACTCTCAACCAAGAAGGTGAAGAAAACGAAAATGCTCCAAACCACGAATTTCTCGGATCAAAAGATAGCCCTCGACGATCAACAACTTTTTTGTAAAGGCCAAAGGTGAGGAAATCACTCCTACTAGATCAATACCTAGAGAGAAGGTAAGGTTTTAGAGAGAGGAGCTCTCAAAAATAGGTTTTAGAAAAAGTATGAGAGAGAAAGGAAAGTAAAAAAGTGATTTAAAATCACCCAGCGGATAACTCATATACGCATGACCCGCTCGAGCGGAGAACACAACGCTCGAGCGCCAAGAACAAAAATCTGGACACGCTCGAGCGCAATAAGGCCCGCTCGAGCACCAAGACACAAGAATAAAGCACTTCCGCTCAAGCGCGAAAACCAGTCCGCTCGAACGTAGATTTCCCCCTCCCAGAACTTATACCCAGAAAGTACTACCCGTTCGAGCGCCAACAAACCCGCTCGAGCGCCACCGCTCGAGCGTAAACAAACACGCTCGAGCGTGAAAATCACATCTGTAGAAGTTTTGCAGGAACACGAAACACTGGAGGTGCACAATCCCCGCTCGAGCGGATCGCCTAAAAACTGAACAACAAGGAATTGAAACCAAGGCCTAACCAACCTGTAACAACCCTGCTCAAAACATCCTAAAACTCAATCAAGTGGAATTAAAGGACGACAACAAGATAGATACCACTACCAACTTCTCGAAACCGAGTCCGGAATGCAACAGAACAGTAAAGGGACAGCCGGGATCGCTATATACATGTGTGAGCTTTATACTAGAAACTCAAAAAAGAGCTAGCATCGAGACATCAACTCGAAAAAATAATAATAATAATGTCTCATATACCCCAAACTTATCCAATTACACCGGGCCAAAAACATCTTTAATCCCTCAAAAAAGTATGTTTGACCCTCTCAAATATTGCAATATATTTACATTCAATCTGCCTATCATACAGAACGATGTGAGTTGCCGGCAGTGAATATACAAGTGGTGTAATACTAGATGATCTTCCCTTCGCCCTTATGCCATTTAGTTTAGTGTTGATCGCTTTCCTAGTGATGTCCCTTAAGACAAAATCATACATGACTGCAGGCAACATATCAAAGTAGCAGAATATCAACCCCTTACCTTATGACATAGTCAAAGGTCACAAAAGGGTACATAAGTAAAAATTATATCAATAATGACATGTAAGACTCACACGGTGAGGAAACAGGAATCCATTCTCTCACCTCATTATTCGGTCGCCAAGCACATGTAGTATGAATACATGCTATGGTGGAGTAACTCTTCCAAAGAGTGACTTCATACTTGATACACCGTACAGATCTTAGTCTAGTCACTTTCTAGCACCTAACTCGAATTCTCTATTTGCTCACCTTCCAGGTGCCAAATGAGATCTCGCATCTGGCTAATCATAATAGACACAACATGAAAAGTGGGTACTAACATCCATGTTTGGTCTTTAACACAACCTCATCTTGGTTGCAACCAATGCAACATACATAGTGGATAATTTAAGCCTATTTTGGCTCCAAATAAAATAAACCACTCGTCTCATCTTTGCTCCCTCCCAAGTGCCAAGGGTGATTGCTCGTGTGAGTGAGCCAATCTTGCATGCTAACATCATCATCTGCTAGTCATTATGACACAAACCATAATAGCTTCAATATCCCATAATATCACAAAAACAAACGATCAATTGAAAAACACAACCATAGTTTGCGCAATCCTAAATTCCAAACATAGGCCATATCAGCACCCCTTGCGATAAGCATATACAACGGAATCCACCATATGCGCCTCACATGAAGTGATTCAAGATCACTACCTCTTGTGCAACTACCGCTCTAAAGACATTCTAGTGACCAATTTGCATTCATTCAAGATGCGCCCAACTAGTGCATTGAATCTTACAAGGGACAAATTTATACGCTACTAGTAAAACATCCTATCCACAATTTAATGAGCAAGGTCAATGTCTAAACTACTCAGTTAACCATTTGCATGTCGAATACGCCTACATAGCGTATTTCAGGCTCCCACAACAAAAGATCAAGGAATATCAGTCATCTGTTTCTCCTAGAGACAATCTAAGGATTCACTCAATAGCTAAGGCTTTAGCTTTTACCGATAGGTAAGTCAATGGGTTTGCAATTTCGCATCTAGAATCATTCTAGGATATTCCTTATGTAAGTCATCAAAGACAAACTGAGAATTCTCCCAAAATAATCCCTAAAGATCGTATATCTGAGTATATAAATTACATCACCCATTTTCGTCATGTCTAAAACAGGGGATTGCCAATCCTAGGTGGTGACAACCTTATAAATTCCTGACTCATAATGACTAAGAAAGAAAAAACTTCTTTTGGACCATTGATCATGTCTCAGTAGTCTTCATCGATCATTGTTGGCCCATCATGGCTCGACAAAATCTAAGAACCATTAGTTGGATAACTGTTTTAGGCCATAAAAGAGTTATTGGAATTAACAAACTTTTTGTGCTCCTAACTTTTCGCCATAAAAGCAGAAGGTAAATGCCTACGAATCTACTTATTCAATTCTCCAACGAGAAGTTGGGTCACAATGTCTACAAAGTAAAGTTTCGAACTCATGTCAATTATAGCCTAAGTTGAAGTAACCTCACTCCCCAGGAAGAAGTCTTCTCATGGTCTACACCTTCCTCAATGGTGCAACTTTTCAGGATCTAGCGAGTTTTATGCCTCAAAAAATGACTATCCAAATCACACATAACTTTAGAACAATTTTGCGTCATAGCGGAAAGTCAACCAAATCCTAGAAATGGTTAATCCTCAATGACTTTGTCTTAAAATGCACAACATTGATCCATTTTCTAAAAACAGGGAACTAGAGAACCTTTGGCATTATCCTATGCTCTTTATCATCTTGCGGAGCAATCATGTATGTTTCCCTCTCAATCACCCAGTGATGACGTGGAAAATTTTCACACTTGCTACCATACAACTAAGAATGTAGAGTATTCTTCTCTAATGGAGTAATCCACTAGTAGGCACGCTGCTCCCACTGTCTTTAGGATATTGGAAATTTCTTTCCATTCTCAATTAGGCTACATAAAGTGCCATGTTTAGAATTCTCTATCTTATAGAGTTTCAAAACTCTATTCATGTGACCTTTACTAAGAAAACTTTATGTGACTTAGTTATACTCCAACAAAGCTGCTCACCCATAAGCACATGACCCAGAGGGTTTACAAGACAGCATACCACATGACCCTAAGCGTTTACAAGACAACATACAATAATGCGTCATAGAACTCTAGGTCTTAACTTTGAAACCTTATGAGAAGTAAAATAAAGATAAGTTGCTTGATAGTTACAGATCGCCTACAAATGACTCTTTGCTAATCCATTACTCAAATGGAGTGTAAAATTTGATATGGAAGACACTTAGTTAAGGACATAGGCAACAAACTAAAGTGTAATTCCCAATTGGGAAACATATTGCGCCATCATCCACCTAACATAAACATTACTTAATTCCTTATCTCTACTACAAAATAACACCGACAGTGAATATTAAATATAAGATGAATATTAAGCCCTGTCCTTAGCACCATCTCCAACTCCCAAAGTCAATCCACGGCTGGGACATACCAACATACATAAAGTAATATACATAGAATATTTTCCTATCTATGACAGTTCCTTTCCCTTAGATTTGTTCAACGATTCTCCTCAATTCTCTGTTTCTCTCTCTCTCTCTCTCTCCCTCTCATGGCTCACGGCTACTTGGAGAGGAAAATAAATAATAAGAAAAGAAAATATACTTACAACTAGGGTTTTATCATCTATATAACAAATTCCCAGAAAACCAGTCCATAATTATTTTATTGAGTAATGTTCCAGATACCGAAATTTCTACCAAATATTTTACCAAATGTCTCACATGGGGTGGGTCCCACATAAGTGTGGGGTCCACATTCATGTGAGACATTTGGGAAAACATTTAGTAGAAATTTTAGGGCCTCCAGCATTTTCCTATTTTATTTTGTTTTATAATACCTTGTCTTATGATTCTAATTAAAATAACATTATATTTGATCAATTATATTTAGTACACTTTTTTTATAATATATTTTATTAAAACATCGTATTTTCATTGTAGACCTGCATCATAAATTTATTTAAAATTTAAACTTAATTAAAATACACTCCAATAATTAAAATAAAATACAACTATATATATATTTTTCTTAATAACAATAAAAATAAAATTTTAATTCACTTAATTAAATATTAATTAAATTTCGAGTTTTACATAACCCACAGACGCACAACCACTTTTGTAGTCAGCAATAGTCATCAGGTCGTTCTAACTAAACTTGTATTTCTTAAAGGGGCGTACTCAGTGCACAAAGCTCCCGCTTAAACGGGGTCTGGGAAAGGGTTGATGTACGCAGCCTTATCCCTGCAAGTGGAGAGGTTATTTCTGCGATTCGAACTCATGACCACCAGATCACCAAGGGGAAACTTTACCGCTGCGCCTGGCTCGCCCTTCTAATATTGAACGATATGTATTATGTCAGTTGATACATATTAATTTTTTTGTTTCTCGATATTGATACATTCCAGTATTCCAATTGATACATATTGATTTTTTGATTTTCAATAGTGATACATTCCAATATATATATGGTGATAACAAATTTAGGAAAAATCCAATTTACCCCTTTGTGGTTTGGCCTTGTACATTTTTGCCCTTGTGTTCGCCGAATGAAATTTTTGCCGCTAACGTCTTCTTCTCCATACCCTACAAATCCTAACGAAAACAGCCAACCCTAGCCCTAGCCCTAGCCCTGACCTACTCTCCCATTTCTGACCTCTCCTTTCATCCCCTCTCTCTCCTTTCCCCAACTCCTTTGTCGTGATCCCCTCTCCCATTCTCATCCTCATTTCACCTACCATATATAATTGTATATACATTTTTGTGTATATATTACGTATATAATCACCAAAGCTTGCATCGGGTTTTCCAAGATTTACGTGTCAGGATCAAAATTTCAAATGAGAGAGAAGGCGTTTAGCAAATCCGTTACTGGTGTTGGAGCGCGGTCCTCGATAGAGGCTTTTGTTTCTAGGGCCTCGGGCGTACAAGATAGAGGATATTAGAGCGGATTCTAGTGGTCGTCGTCGGTTGTTGGTGGTGAAACGAGAACAAGGTAGGCACAACGAGATTGCTTTGTATGGGGCAACGATTAGATGGTTGGTCACGCGATTGCGATAGGTGAATGCGGCTAAGGATCCTGGTTTGTTCTGGGGTCGAGTGTCGGGTTGAAGCCGGAGTGTGGCGGTGTGGCTGAGGTCTGAGCAGAATGAGTGTGTGGTGCAAGTGGTCATGTTATCAGAGGTTCATTGTCATCAGATTTTCGTACCACCGGCAGATGATGGATAGGAAGGCCTTGCGCTGGTACTGGAAGGTTTCGATCCAGGATGCAGATGGATGGACCAGCAGCAATCTTGGTGGCTGCTAGGTGGTCGGGTAAACATTGGTCACCGGCCACAAGGTGACTGGAGCAAGATCGGGGGCATGATGTTCGTGCTAGAAATCTGGCCCAAGATCAGAGGAGAGATTTTCAGAGTTCTTCTCTTGGGCAGTTAGGCAAAGGTGTTGGGTCGAAGATAATAGGCCCAGGCAAAACACATGGGCCTGGAATGAGGGGTTTGGATTTGGGCCATTTTAATAATGTTTTTTTTGGAAATGCGATTTTGGGCCAGAGAGGCTTTGATGCTAGGCCAGGTCAGCTTCGACCTACAGGTGTTGGGCATTTCGGAGTGAGGCTATTTGGGATAGGGCGCACAAGTCATAGAATGGGCAGACAGGGTCCATAGGGCCGGGTTGGTTTCAATCCACATCATGGTTTGATAGGTGATGGGGGTTTGAAGTGTAAGGATCTCGGGTACTAAATCCATCTGTTCGTCGAGTATTTGGGTTGCTATCGGGTGCCTTAGGACATGATTGTGGTGCGACAAAGGGGGCTCAAGGGAGGGGAAACGATCAACGTCGTTCAGTGATGGGAGAAGCGTCAACAATTACAGGGGGTCAGACGGAGGATCCTAGTGGTCGGAATGCGGAGGCTAGTCATGATTGGAATGGTGGAAGTCTTCCTAGTGATAGGTGATGGGGGTTTGAAGTGTAAGGATCTCGGGTACTAAATCCATCTGTTCGTCGAGTATTTGGGTTGCTATCGGGTGCCTTAGGACATGATTGTGGTGCGACAAAGGGGGCTCAAGGGAGGGGAAACGATCAACGTCGTTCAGTGATGGGAGAAGCGTCAACAATTACAGGGGGTCAGACGGAGGATCCTAGTGGTCGGAATGCGGAGGCTAGCCATGATTGGAATGATGGAAGTCTTCCTAGTATGGCAGTGGAGGATGAGGGTGCTTGTTGGGAGGAGCAAGTGCAAAATAAAAGGGGGCCAAAAATTCGGCAGAGGTAGCGGTGGCAGTGGGGTTAAGGTCTTTGCCCATGGGTAGCTGTGCTTGGGCTATGGTTCTGCTACAAGAGGGTCGAGGTCTTTAATAGAACCTAACCCTTTCTCCGCCGCCACCCTCATCGGTGTAGCCCCCATGCTTGCGCAGCCCCTCTTATCCCTGTTGCTCACTGCCTAACCCCCATCTCCTCCCCTGTTGCCCTCTCTCCATCACCCGCACGTCCTTCTTTTCCTTTATTAGGGGCTACTAAGGGGAGTTACAGTGGTGGACAGCTAGTGGAATCACAATTATGTGGTGATGACAATAGCAATGGCTAGGGTTTTGTAGTGGCAAGGGTTGGTAGCTAGCGATGGTGGGATTAGGAGGGAAGGTGTGTAACTTTTGTTCTTGATGGTAATTTGTTTGTGGGCCACAATCGCAATTAAAAACATAAAAAAAATGGTGTGAACTAAGGAGGAGGATGGTGTGTAGAAGCTCCTCAATGTCAAGGACCACCAAATAACTTCTCTAGCAACAGACCTTTTATCAGGGAAGTTTCCTGAAAGGTACAAAGACATTACTTGCTAGGAATTCACTTAGCCATCCAACCATCTTAAACGCACTTGGATGGAATTAATACAAATGGCTTAATATGCATGATGAATGCTGGACAATCCAAATCCAAATGCCAATCAAGCCAGGCTTATCAATTTCTTAGTATATATGATCAATTTGCTATTCTATTATGAATTTTTTAATAAAATATTTTGATTTTTGAAACTAATTTGATACTTTATTTTTTAATCAAATTTTAGGAGACCATAACGCCAACTTTGCATACCTTTACTAGGGCAAATGCATGTCCAGCCAAACTTATAGAATTTGTAGTTGTTATATATATGTTAGGATCTTTCTATAATATATTTCATGGTGAACTTAATTACATTTGGCTTTGTATCTTCAAAACAGCCATGGAAGCATCAACTTCTTCTGAGGTTAAGTTTCAAATTCTGGCCAATTCCCACATACCACTTTCTATTTCATCTGGAGATGAAGTCGAATCAGCCATCTCAAGGTTTACAAGGTAAGTTAGTAGAAAAATATTGGGTTAATAAGTATTCTTATGCAGGTTTTATTTATTTGTTTGTGTAGTTTTATGTTTACAATTTATCTATGAAAGGCAAAAGAATATTCATCAATGTTCTTTTTCTACTTATTAATTCGCATGTGTTGTGCTCAGTGTTTCATTTTTATCCCAAGTCCAGATAAAGAGGGTTGTGTAGCATGAAAATCCATGTGATATCTCTTACTAGCATTTATCATTCCAAAAAGACATCACGCTACCATCATCCAAAGAAAACTCAATATTTGACACAAAGAAATTAAACAAGGTAGGGGATTGTGAGAATATATTGTGTATATTCTATATTTGGCATGATTGTGATTGTACATATTATAGGTGTGATTTTGTATAGGTGTGATTGCGTTTTTCTTTTTTTGGTTTAGGAGTTAAGAGTTATATAATCTAGGGTCTTGTTGTAATCAAATACATAATTTGAATATATAGAATACAGAAAACTTACATGGTAATAGAGCCACGTTCGAAACCCTAGGTCTAGCCTTGATCATTCGAAGTTCTTTCTCTTCATTTACGCTTGTTGTTCGAAGTCTTCTCTGGTCCTCTTCGAAGCCACGAAGGTCTCTCTAAGCTTCTCTAAAGTCGTGACAGTCTTCTCCGAAGTCACAACAGCCCTCTCTATTCTTCTTTGAAGTTGCAATAGACTTCTTTGGTCTTCTCCGAAGTCGCGACAGACTTTTGGTGCTTGGTCTGAAGTTGCGACTTTGGTCTGGGTTTGAGGGACCTCTCTCTCTCTCTCTCTCTCTCTCTCTTTCGTGACCTCTGCTTTGGCTCGATTTTTGGTTCTCTTTCTCTGGCTGTGTCGATCGAAGCTTCTCTGCTTTGGTTTTCCCTCTGGTCTCTGGTCTCTGCTCTCTATTCTCTGATTTCAATCCACCAGTATTTGACCCCTCTGTCCCAACTTTGGGTTATTACATTTTGACACCCTAGATTTATTGGGTTTTCTCACTTTGCCCCATCAATTCCCTTCTCTTTTATTTCCGGTTCATTACAATGTCGGAAGATAAAATTCAAGCTATTAAATGCAAACTTACAGTTGACAACTATGCTTATTGGTCTAGTATTATGAGAATTTTTCTTCTCGGTCGAAAAAAATAGAGATTTGTTTCTAGTTCTGTTCCTTGTCCATCGAATCCAAAACAAGAAGGATATCTGATTTCCTGTGACACTTGGGACTGTGATAATGCCCAAGTTTTGACCTAGTTCCATAAGTTTTTGGACTACTGTATCAGGATGATGTTTTCTAAATACAGCACTGCTAAAGAGGTGTGGGATTACTTATAGAGTGTTTATTAGTAGTCCAACTTTGCCAAACGGTATGAGTTGGAAACAGCTATTCAAGGAGCTCGTTAGCGGGATCTGTCTATTCAGTATTCTATATTGAAATGACAGGTCTCTAGGATCAGTTGGCTCCTATGGAACCTTCCAGCCTCAAGGTTCTAGATGCTTATATTGAGTTTTGAGGGCAGAGTCGTTTAGTGCAGTTATTAACGGCTCTCTCCCCTCGGTATGAGGCTATCCGTGGTGACATTTTTCACCGGTCTCCTATTCCCTCTATGGATGCCATTGTTCATGAGCTTCTCTACGAGAAGACCCGTCTCAAAATCGCCAGTCAGACTTCATCTCCATCTGTCTTCCTATCTCCTGCTCAACCTCCACTATTATTGACCCCACCGATTCAGGGCACTGCCAAGCCAAAAAAAATGGGCCCTTAACATCAGATGAGTGTCTTTCTGCCATCAGAAGGGTCATTAGAAGTACAACTGTCCCAAGAAAGGACGTTCATCTTTTTAGCAATCTTAGTCCCGAGCTCCTACTCAGAGTTCTTTCCAGCCTCCCACTGTTTATACTGCATCCACTCAGGCTTCAGGTCCTAATTTGGCTTCCTTGAGTACTCAATTTGCTCAAGTTTAGCAAATCTTGTCCACCTCTCAATCATCTTCATCTGCCTCCGCACTCACCTCTCTTCATTCAAGTTTGCTTGGGTCCTCTTCAGGTATTCCTTCTTCTGTCTAGCTTTTTGATCATGATGCTTCTCATCATATGACTTCTCATTTTTCCTTACTCCAAAACTATATCCCCTCTCATTTTTCTATTGCTATTAATATTGCTAACGGGTCTAGTATGTCTGTCTTATCTATTGGGTCTGTTTTACCCTCTGCCATGTCTGCTGTTGTTATTCGTTTTGTTCTTTATGTTCTTCAACTGTCTGTCAGCTTGCTTTCTATCAGTCAGCTTGATACTTCTGGTTTTGATGTTATCTTTTCTTCTTCTATGTGTTGTGTGTAGAATCTGGTGTCCAAGAAGCATATTGGGATTGGTCGTAAAGTTAGAGATCTCCATGTGGTGGAAAGCCTACATCTTCCTCTATCTCCCTCTCCCATTGCACTTTTATCTTTTCAGTTAGATTCTCAATCAAGTTAGTTTTATTTGTGGCATTCTCACCTCGGTCATTTGTTTGTTGACCCTTGCGGTCTTTAGCTCAGTCAGGATTGTTGGATAAAGTTTCTTCTAGTCAAATCAATGAATGTCGAGGTTGTAAACTTGCTAAAATTGTATACTTACCTTTTAATAAAAGTTCCTCTATTTTTATTTTTTCTTTTTCTCTTGTCCATACTGATGTCTGGGGATCTTCTTATGTTCTCACTAAAGGGGGTTCTGCATACTGTGTCCTTTGTTGATGATTGTATACACTATACCTGGGTTTATCTTATGGCTCATAAATCTAACTTTTACCTGATCTACTGTACCTTTCAGTCTCTGATCACTACACAATTTGGGGCTACAATTAAAATGCTCTGGTCTGACTTGGGTGTGGAATACTTTAAAACCGAATTCTATGAGTATTTGGCCAATTTGGGTACCCTTCATCAAACTTCCTATACTGATACACCGTCATATCATCGAGACAGCTCGATCTCTCCTTCTCTCTGCCTCTGTTCTGGCACCATTCTGGGGTGAGGCAGTTCTTACTGTTGTTTTTCTACTCAACCACATGCCAACTCCCTTCCTCTCTGGAGGATCTCCTTGTGAGGCTCTATATTTCTAACTTCCTAATTATTCCCTTCTACGTGTTTTTGGGTCTACTTGTTTTGTCTTTCTTTCCCATAAAGATAGGACAAACTAAGTGCCCAGTCTGTCCTGTGTATCTTTTTGAGTTGCAGTCTTACTTAGAAAGGCTACCGTTATTATGACCTTGTCACTCGTCGCCTTTATGTCTCTCATCATGTTGCCTTTCTCGAACGTTATCTTACTTTTAGTTTCAAAAGAAGATTTGGTTCACATGGACCCATTTCCTTCTGAGATCCCTGCTGATGAGTACATCTCTACTGTTTCTCTTAAGCTTGTTCCATCTTCTCCACCTTCCACCCCTTCTATTGAGTACCTCTCCATTGACCCCCCTGAGGCTATTCCTATTTCATCTCTGGCTACTTCAACTCCTTCTCTTTCTCCGTTGTTAGTCTATTCTTGTCACAAGGCTCCCCCTCAACTAGTTGTCTCTACCCCGGTTGCTGCCTCTTCTGCTTCAGAAGACTCTAATCCTGCTGTACCCGGATATCCTACTCGAGAGTGTCATCCTCCAAACAGGTTAGGTCGGGTTGGTCTAATACATGTTTTTCTACTTCTTGTCATACTTTTTTTGTCTGCTATTCATTCGTCTTCAGAACGTCAATCTTACAAGAAGGCCTGTCAAGATCCCAATTGGGTTCAAGCTATGGAGGATGAGTTGTCTGCTTTGTAGAAAACTAGTACTTGGGAGCTGGTTCCTTTGCCTGCTAGTAAGAATCTAGTTGGTTATAAATGGGTCTATAAAATCAAGACTCATTTTGATGGTTCTCTTGAACGCTACAAGGCTCACCTGGTTGCCAAGGATTTTTCACAAAAGTATGGTATTGATTATGAGGAGACCTTTGTCATGTTGCCAAGATGGCTATTGTCCGTACTTTCATATTTGTTGCTGCTATTCGCCATTGGCCTCTTTATTAGATGGATGTTAAGAATGCTTTTCTTAATAGTCATCTCGTTAAGGAAGCTTACATGCATCCTCCCCCTGGCCTTCACCATTCCTCCGGACAGATTTGTGGTCTTTGGCGTACTCTGTATAGTCTGAAGCAATCTCCTCGTGCTTGGTATAATCGCTTTCAGACTGCTGTTACTGAGTTTGGGTTTCATCCTTCTGCTTTTGACTTTTCTTTGTTTCTGAGACACACCTCAGCTGGTTTTGTTACTCTCTTACTATATTGGCTCTAATTCTTCTGCTATCTCTGTGGTCAAGCAGCATCTCTTTCGCATCTTCAAAATGAAGGATCTAGGTCCATTGCGATATTTTCTTGGTATTGAGGTTGCTTCTTTTCTAAAGGACTATTTTTTGTCTGAAACTAAGTATGCTAATGAGGTCATTCATCATGCTGGTCTTACTAATACTAAGGTTTTTGATACATTTATTAAGCTTAATGTGAAGCTCACTCTACTAATGGTGTCCCTCTGGATGATCCCACTTTATATCGTGAGCTTGTGGGTTGTTTAGTTTATCTGACTATCACTCGTCTAATCTTGTTTATGCTGTTCATGTGGTTAGTTAGTTCGTTTTTGCTCCTCACTCTACTCATTGGGCTGGTTTGGTTCGCATTCTTTGCTATTTCAGGGGTACCATCTTTCAAGACTTACTATTGTTCTCTACTTCCTCTTTGGACTTAGTGGCCTATGCTGATTCTGATTGGGCTGGTGGTGTTAATGTTCACAAGTCTACATCTAGTTTCAGTATGTTTTTTGGTGATTCCTTGATCTCTTGGAAAAGTAAGAAACAATCCGTTGTTGCTCACTCTACTGCCGAAACTGAGTATCGTGCTATGGCTCATGCTACTACTGAGATTGTTTGGCTTCATTGTCTTCTGTCTGATTTGGTCTTTTCCGACCTCTCTCTATTGTGACAACCGCAGTGCTACTCAGATTGTCCACAATATCGTCTTCCATGAGCGGACGAAACACTTTGAGATTGATTGTCACTTTGTCCGACAGCATCTGTAGTCTGGCTCTATCTCGTTTCCTTTCGTCTTTTCATCGTTGCAACTTGCGGACTTCTTCACCAAGACTCATACTACCACTCGGTTTCAATTTATTCTTAGCAAACTCTTAATGTTTTCTACTAAAACACCTTGAGTTTGAGCGGGGTTGTGAGAATATATTGTGTATATTCTATATTTGGCATGATTGTGATTATACTTAATATAGGTGTGATTGTGTTTTTCTTTTTTTGGTTTAGGAGTTAGGGCTATATAATCTAGGGTCTTGTTGTAATCAAATACACAATTTGAATACACAAAATACAAAAGGCTTATAGGGATATCTTTCCACATCCTGGATGAATTGTACAAAGATGTACTAAAAAGAGAGGGGGGGCAGTTTGAATTCACCGTGACTGATTTGCTGCAGATAATTCTCCTCCAAAGAGCATTCCTTTCTGTACCAAATCTCTCCCACCATTTCATCAAAAGGCATAATTCATTTCCCTGATTTTTCTGATTCTCTTTGTTTCTCATAACATTTCTCTATTTGTAGTGTATAAATATGATCAGCATAGCATTATTGCCCCTTTTTAATACGAAGTGTTACAATATAGCAAATGGAGAAAAACAAAGTATTACAATATACTAAAGAGTGAAATAGAAGAGTTATGGAGAGAATAGAATATCAGTACACGATCTGGCTTTCTTGTAGTTGCACTCTAGTGCTTCATGATTTAGAGTTGTTATGTTCTTTGTGATGCATTGTCTGTTTGGTCCCTTTGCTGGTTGCTGATGGGGTGTTTTTGTTGTTGCTATTGTGACTCTTGTTTTGCTTTTGGTGGTTTCTCTTTTGTTGTTTTTGGTTGGATCCTCTCCAACCATTTTTTTTTGTTCTTGGATGGTGCTTGTAACAACCCTCACCTTACTCTTGCCATACTTGCATACATTCTTGCATGGTCTTGCTTGTTATGATTAATTTGAAGGTTTTATCTTGCCTTGGTTTGCTATAGTTGCTTGCTTGATTTTGATCCTTGCTTGTGTGTGTGCGTAGCCGATGTCATCTTGAGCTTAATCCGCCTTTGAACCCTTGTACTTAGAACTATCTTGAGATCTTGTTCAACCCCATCTTCACCTCGGGCATTCATTGCCGAGATGTTTTACACTTGAACCTTGTCCGCAGGCAGGTATGGCCTAGGCCGAGATGTGGCGCACCCCGGCCAAGGTGTGGCACAGCTTAGTCAAGTGTCGTCCTCCCGAGCCGATGTTTTGTTATCCTGTTGCTGGATCCTTGTTTTGAGCCGATGTCATCTATCAGATGGATGTTAAGAATGCTTTTCTTAGTGGCCATCTCATTGAGGAGGTTTACATGCGTCCTCCTCCTGGCCTTCACCATTCCTCTGGACATGTTGTCGCCTTCTGCGTGCTCTATATGGTCTGAAGCAGTCTCCACGTGTTTGGTATGATCGCTTTCAGACTGTTGTTACTGAGCTTGGGTTTCATCGTTGTGCCCAAGACTCTGCTTTATTTCTTCTCCATACCTCAGTTGGATTTGTTGCATTATTACTGTATGTGGATGATATGATCATCACTGACTCTGACTCTTCTGCTATCTCTGAGGTCAAGCAGCATCTCTTTCGCACCTTCAAGATGAAGGATCTTGGCCCTTTGTGGTATGTTCTTGGTATTGAAGTTGCCTCTTCTCCAAAAGGCTATTTTCTGTCTCAGGCCAAGTATGCTAATGAAGTCATTCACCGTGTTGGTCTTACTGATACTAAGGTTTCTGATACCCCTACTGAGCTTAATGTGAAGCTCAACTCTACTGATGGTGTTCCATTGGATAATCCCACTTTATATCGCGAGCTTGTGGGTTGCTTAGTTAATCTGACGGTTACTCGTCCTAATCTTGCTTATGCTGTGCATATGGTTAGCCAATTTGTTTTTGTTCTTCGCTCTCCACATTGGGCCGCATTGGTTCGGATTCTTCGCTGTCTCCGAGGTACTATCTTTCAGGGTTTACTATTGTCCTCTATTTCCTCTCTGGATTTGGTGGCCTATGTTGATTCTGATTGGCTGGTGATGTTACTGATCGTAAGTCCACGTCTGGTTTCTGTATGTTTCTCGACAATTCCTTGATCTCTTGGAAAAGCAAGAAATAAACTGTTGTTGCTCGCTCTACTACCGAAGTTGAGTACCGTGCTATGACTCATGCTACTGTTGAGATTGTTTGGCTTCGTTGTTTATTATCTGATTTGGGTGCCCTCCAGTCTTCTCCAGCCTCCCTTTATTGTGACAACTGCAGTGCTATTCAGATTGCCCACAATACTGTCTTCTATGAACGGACGAAACACATTGAGATTGATTGTCACTTTGTCCGACAGCATCTGTAGTCTGGCTCTATCTCGTTTCCTTTCGTCTTTTCATCGTTGCAACTTGCGGACTTCTTCACCAAGACTCATACTACCACTCGGTTTCAATTTCTTCTTAGCAAACTCTTAATGTTTTCTACTAAAACACCTTGAGTTTGAGCGGGGTTGTGAGAATATATTGTGTATATTCTATATTTGGCATGATTGTGATTATACTTAATATAGGTGTGATTGTGTTTTTCTTTTTTTGGTTTAGGAGTTAGGGCTATATAATCTAGGGTCTTGTTGTAATCAAATACACAATTTGAATACACAAAATACAAAAGGCTTATAGGGATATCTTTCCACATCCTGGATGAATTGTACAAAGATGTACTAAAAAGAGAGGGGGGCAGTTTGAATTCACCGTGACTGATTTGCTGCAGATAATTCTCCTCCAAAGAGCATTCCTTTCTGTACCAAATCTCTCCCACCATTTCATCAAAAGGCATAATTCATTTCCCTGATTTTTCTGATTCTCTTTGTTTCTCATAACATTTCTCTATTTGTAGTGTATAAATATGATCAGCGTAGCATTATTGCCCCTTTTTAATACGAAGTGTTACAATATAGCGAAGGGAGAAAAACAAAGTATTACAATATACTAAAGAGTGAAGTAGAAGAGTTATGGAGAGAATAGAATATCAGTACACGATCTGGCTTTCTTGTAGTTGCACTCTAGTGCTTCATGATTTAGAGTTGTTATGTTCTTTGTGATGCATTGTCTGTTTGGTCACTTTGCTGGTTGCTGTGGGTGTTTTTGTTGTTGCTATTGTGACTCTTGTTTTGCTTTTGGTGGTTTCTCTTTTGTTGTTTTTGGTTGGATCCTCTCCAACCATTTTTTTTGTTCTTGGATGGTGCTTGCATATGATAGGGCTTTCTTTCCTATGCCAACGTAGTTGGGATGAAAATGTTTAGCTTTGATGCTTTTTGCACTCCCCTTTGCTTTATGTTTGATTGCCTTAGTTATGTAATGTTTTTTTGGTGGTCTAGGAAAAAAGTGCTATTTTTTGCTGATAAAAAAAATAAAAAATTATTGTTCAGTAGTTCTTTGTTTCTCATTCTTCAGTCTAGGAAAGCTGCAATCTGTTAAAGGAATGACTATTCAAAAAGCTTTTGGATTGGACGGAGCCGAACCCATTCAGGTGCCTTATTCTCCTTATAATCAGTGTTTTGAAACAACTGTTCTTCTCTTGCACTTGAATACGATCCATTTCCCACTTGGGATTGCATTAACTCTTGAATCATGTCCTAAAAGGCATTATGCTTTCAATGATGAGTAGCAATTAATGATGTGATGTACACTCACAACTAAGGCTTTAAATTTCATAACAAAGGTATTGGATGACATGGCTGTAAAAATTTAAAAATCATCTGCTATAAAAAGAATTGCATAGCAGTGAACCGGCCTGACTTGTCATCTCTGAATTGGGTCACAAATTAGCTATGAAGTGATACATATCACTAACCAGTCGATATGCATGTGATTTTTATTTCCTCTACTACACTGGAGTGTATCAGTATTAGAGGCCATAAAAACAATTCCTATCAGCCGGTATTGGTATATATCATTCGATATTTAAAATAATTTATCGGACCAACTTGCCTATCTTTCTCTTGAAAAAAAAAGTATGATTTGGGTTTGAATAGTAAGAATAAAAGACTCCTAATAAATCACACACAAAAATATTATTGGCTAATCATTTGAACCACGTGACAATGAGCTTAATGTTTTAAGTTGTTATTGTCATGAGCATTCTTGTCGTCAATTTATGTCCTCTAAATCTATTCAGCCCATTTTGCATGTAGAATGTGGTGAAGGCTGTAGCAACTGATGAAGAGATGAGGAATGTCTTTCTAAACATTACTGAAGTGCAGGAATTCAAGCGGCAGCTAATGACAAGTTCACAAGTGCATATATTTATTAACGAAATTTAAAATATTAGTAATGTTAAGAAATCATAGTTTCTTAGCACAATTGGTTTACCATTTCATTTGTCAACATTGTATTAGTTTAATGGATCTCACCACTTGTGTTTATTACCAATGCAGTAGTAGCACATGAGATGTCAAGCAAAACATAGTACAAAAATATAGTCATCATAGTATTATTAAAATGATTGTTTATTTTTTATACTTACCAATTTTATAAAGGACATTCAACCATTTTAATTTTATTAAATATTAATCACATTAACAAAACCTTGGTTGATCGATAGACCTCAACTATATATCTCATGTTAAGATGAATTTTTGCTTCGATTATATTTTGTTTTCATTAGTTTGGCTCATTGGTCTCATATATTCTTCTCTAGAAAAGTAATATGATTACATTGGTCTTACTGTTTTGAGTGCAACTTGCATTGTCCTATAACCCTTCTACCTATTGTTAAAAAAAATATTTAAAACATCATGGACCAGAACATAATGAAAGGCTTATTTATCTTTATTTCTTTAGTAGTATGTATGAATGATGCTTCTTAAAAATAAAAGTAGAGAGACAGAGAGAGAGAGAGAGAGAGAAAAGAAGAAGAAGAAGAAGAAGAAGAAGAAGAAGAAGAAGAAGAAGAAGAAGCTATATTGTTCTTTAATTGTCTAGATTAATGCTACCCTTTATAATTTGTTTTATTGTTTGATGTATTGTGGTTTTTTCCACGTTAAATCACTGTGTCTCTTTGTCTTGATTGTTTGATTGGGATTGTTATATTCTGCTTAAAATTGTTACATAATCACAAATCAACATCTAGGGGATTTCTAGATTTTTCAATAACTATCCTACTTTAATGAAAATATGGACTCGTTTGTGTCTGCTATCTAGTAGTTACAGAAAGGAAAAAGTTAAGGAATCCAAAAACTAATGTAAACATTTATTAAAAAATAAAGTGTGGTATAAATTCAAACTTCGTGTTATGAAATCACATCCAAAATAAATTTAGTCTATACATTTCAAAAAAATTATTTTTTGACATTTTTTTAAACAACTTTTTTGGGCTATGTAATATTAATGTTTCAAAAATATCATAAGAAAAGATAGTGAATATATTATCTCAACTATTTTGGTGCCAACAGAATAGAGGCAATAACAAGTAGCAACCCGTAGATGCAGGGCAATAGCTATAGTCAGTAACAATCGGCAGGTCTCTCTGATTCATTGTATTTACTTTTATGATTTTAAATATCAATCATTACGTATTATATCAACTTATACATATCAGTTTTTAAATTTCTCGATATTAATACATTTATTGATTGATAGATACCAACTTTTGATTTCTCAATATTGATATATTTCAGTTTGCTGGTGGTAATAAAATTTATTAGCGTGAAGTACACTCATTGCCCTTGTAGTTTGTTGAGGCTTTTCTCATATTAAGCCAATTTACTATCTTAATTCTCAAACTAAGCCTAGTTTGGACGGAATTCCCAAACTAGGTTAAAGTGCTATTACAAATCACGCTTTTACTATTTGGAACATAAAATTTGATGAATAGTGAAGGTGCTATTACAAACCACGCTTTTAATTAAGAAAGCGTGGTTTAACATAAAAAAAATTTCTGAAGAAAACGTGGTTCCAAACCACGCTTTCACTGTGCATATTGTTTGAATTTTTTTTCTGAAGAAAACGTGGTTCCAAACCATGTTTTCACTGTGCATATCCTTTTCTGAAGAAAACGTGATTCATAATCACGCTTTCACTGTTCACTACAATAAGCGTGGATTGAAACCACACTTTCACTATTCATGTAAATTTTATTATATTAATTTATTATTTTAATTTTTTTTTCCTATTGTCATTGTTTTGATGATAATGTAATTCATAAAAAAAATTGGCTTTACTAAAGCCGTTCTCATGTTAAATTTTTTTTTCTTTTGTCTTTGTTTTGAGTTAGAATGTGTAATTCAGGAATTTTTTTTGACTTCACTAAAGCCGTTTTCATGTAATTTTTTTTTCTTTTGCTTTTGTTTTGCGTTAGAAGGTGATAATGTAATTCAGAAATTTTATTTGGCTTTACTAAAGTTATTTTCATTTAAATTTTTTTTTTCTTTTGTCTTTGTTTTGTGTTAGAAGGCGATAATGTAATTCAGAAAATCGGTTTAATAAACCCGTTTTGTAGCCGTTTTCATGAAATTTTTTTTTTTTCTTTCGTCTTTGTTTTGGGTTAGAAGGTGATATACATGGTCTACAGTCTGAAGCACACCTAGACACTGTGCAGTTCGACGAACAACGACGAAGGGTGAGACGCTAAGAGCACCGCGGAGTAGGCCACGAAGACGAAGGCCACCGCTTTGTTTTGCGTTAGAAGGTGATAATGTAATTCAGAAATTTTATTTGGCTTTACTAAAGTTATTTTCATTTAATTTTTTTTTTCTTTTGTCTTTGTTTTGTGTTAGAAGGCGATAATGTAATTCAGAAAATCGGTTAAATAAACCCGTTTTGTAGCCGTTTTCATGAAATTTTTTTTTTTTCTTTCGTCTTTGTTTTGGGTTAGAAGGTGATATACATGGTCTACAGTCTGAAGCACACCTAGACACTGTGCAGTTCGACGAACAACGACGAAGGGTGAGACGCTAAGAGCACCGCGGAGTAGGCCACGAAGACGAAGGCCACCGCGAGAGCTGTAGCAAGAAGGAAGAAGAGAAAGAACTAAAATTTTGGTGATGTATTTTTTACATACAAATGGTACTTTTTCCGTTTTTTGCTATATAATGTAACTTGTATGTAATTTGAAATCCGATTACGAACAGGAACTTATGTAATGTAAATATTGGGTTGGAGTTGATGTTATTGTGATTCAATTGGTTTCGCTTATTTCATAAGACTGATGTGCAATGAATGAATGAATGGAAAGATCATTTGTTTTATTCAATTGGTAGTGTATTTTTTGTAAGAATGAAAATGTTATTTGTTATATTCAATGAATAATGGTTACATTTTTGGGTTGTCACGATTGAGAAAATGAACAAGTTAAGAGAATGTGTATTTCTCCTAAAATAAATTTTGTCAACATTTTTGTAATAAAACTTAATACATAATATACGAAGTCACTAATTTGCTAAATACTCATACAGGCATGAAAACAACATAACTGAAGTTGCAAATGTAGCAGTTTTCAGTTACATAGGTAGTACAGACATAAGTCTCCTACAAAATACATTCTGCACACCATGAACTAAACACACAATACATACATCCTGGACACCCTGAACTGAACACACAATACATAAACATAACAGTTAGGCAGACAAATATTAGGCAAACAATCTGACAGACTCATTACGGAAACACTTAGTCTAACACAGACATTACATAGTAATGCATGACCTAATATTGCCGAAGTGTAGACATTAACACCTAATTCGTGCTTAAATCGGCAATCTCAAAGTCTGAATAATCCGAAAGCTCAGCGTCAAAGACAAGTTCAGGATCCTCCATGGTACCCTTGATAGCCGCAACATTTGGTTCTGTTCTGTTCTTCTGGGCATCCTTCTTAAGTATGTATAGTTGCATATCGCGGGCTAACCTACGGCGCATTTGAGAAATCTCACATTGTAGTGTTTCACATAGTTGATCAACATTATCAAGATCTTCCTTTTGGATCTCAACAGAACGTGCTTTTGGCACCATAAGTTTATTTTCCCGACTTAAGGTTTCCAATTGTACCCGCTCTATAAATAGTGCGGGCCACTTGAGACGAGCAGCGTCAGATAAACCATATCCTGTTTGATTGTCAGATGGGTCCATACATGAACCCCCTTGAACTGGATAATACTTGGGCATCAAAAAATGTCGCTTCCCAAACCTATCACGATAACCACAAGCATAATCTAAAACAGGTATTGTTGTTTCGTCTTCAGTATCGCCACGTCCCCTTCTCCCTCCTCGTCGTGAACTGTCACCCCTTTGCAAGTTCCCACCACCTCTGCGATTCCCACTCCCTCCCATGAATCGTGTAGCCATGCTAATTTTTTTAAACAAATGAATGATAATTTCATAGGGCGAAATGAGTTGTAAGGTTGTGTCTTCACCTTTAGTCGTTTAAATAGTTTGTTATGAACGGCTTTAGAAATATGCCTCTGCATGACAATCCCACATATACGAACAAGGTATGAGTTGTCACTAGAATGACAGAACAGAGAAAGGCAAATACTGTGTACCAAGTCACGTGACTTGACAATCCATCTGCATATACTGACAAAATAAGGGCATGCTCACTGTAAAGTATATCAGTGAATTCACTGTTACCATGTGACTTTCTAAATTGACAATCCCACATATATCAATAACAGATGAGTTGTCACTGTAATAAAAAAACAGAGAAAAGCAATGCCTGTGCACCAAGTCACATGACTTGACAATCCATCTGCATATACCAACAACATAAGGGCATGCTCACTGTAAGCTAAATCAGTGAATTCACTGTTGTCAGGTGACTTTCTAAATTGACAATCCCACATATATCAATAACAGATGAGTTGTCACTGTAATCAGAAAACAGAGAAAAGCAATGCCTGTGCACCAAGTCACATGACTTGACAATCCATCTGCATATACCGACAACATAAGGGCATGCTCACTGTAAGCTAAATCAGTGAATTCACTATTGCCATATGACTTTCTGAATTGACAATCCCACATATATCAATAAGAGATGAGTTGTCACTGTAATAAAAAAAATCGAAAAAACCAAAGCCTGTGCACCAAGTCAAATAGTGATCCTCTAGGTAACGAATTTTTACAGTAGATTAACTACATATTCAATTGCATATCAGAATTTTCTCATAATTTTTGGGAGTCAAAATCTATATTAACTGGTACATTCAAATATGTCCAGAAAATTGGTGTTAAACAGTAATTTCGGAAGTGTTGTTCTCTTTGGGTATAAATCCGGAAAATCTCAAATCAGCGTCATTAGAACTGCTTAGAAGTCTAGTTTCTTACATTTTTGGCCTTGCGTTGATTGCTATTCTATGCTAAGAGAATCGTCAATATCTTTAAAGAGGTGCATAACACAATCTGTTTCAGTATAATTAATTGTAAATAGATATTTTGACAAGCAAATCAAGTAAAACTAATTGGGTTTTAAACTTAGTCCCCCTAACTGGACCAACCATTTGGCTTTGAGCTTGTTTGTCCAGCCCCCAAGTTTAGTTTTCTGTCAACCCCCCATTCCTTACTAGGGTCATCATGTTGACTGGACTTCCAGGAATTGGAAAGCGACTCTTTCTTCTTTCCTGTTGGAGATTGAAATTCTTTACCTAGAAGA